GTGACAGAAACTATTGTGAAATATTTAGCATAAACGCTTAGGTAAGTGCAATAGATAAGATGTTGTAATGTGTCTGAGGAAACCCTTGCCTCAGGGATTTTAGGCCCTTTCGTCCAACTACTTAAAGACATGAATCCCTTGTGAAATTAAATGCATGTGGATTGCAATTAATTGCAGTTAAAAGAAAATATCCTCTAATTTATATTAAATGCAATTAGGTGAACTTTAGAGTTCTACTTTGACCACCTTAAGTAGGACTTAAGTACATCTTTATATGTAATAAAAAAAAAAAGGGTACTTCTTTGAAGCACGACAAATGATTATTGAAACATATTGATTTAAAATGTACTTTAAAGTATAATTTAAAAAAAAAAATTTAAAGGACACTTAAATGTGTTAAGAAACAGCCATGAAAGTCTACTGCTTTAAGTACACTTAAATGTGCTTTTATTTCAATAATATTATATTATCTGCAAGTTCAGTTTTTTTAACAATATACTTTTAAGATTTGAAGTTCACTACAAGTAGCCTGGTAATACCAAACTCTGCTACTTCGCTTTGCTTCGTAGACAGAGTCTGGAATGGCATAATTGAAAAGTGTTTTCTTTCTCGCGAGAGGGGCACTTGTCTGAAGTTTAAAATCATTGGTTACCCTTAAGCCAATCACATAACGCAATCACCTCTCTCTCCAATTTAAACATCACCTCCATTCAAAATGTTTAACAAACACTCTTCTTGTTCGGGCTTCAGTTTGCAAATGCCGGGAATATTCTCCACAACAGAGTGAATTGCATCCCGTCTCTCCATATCCGCGGTCGTTTTCGATTTCCCAAACCTAAAATACAATCTTCAACTCGGCGCTTTAGCGTCTACGTCACGGCTCTCTGTTGATTGGCCGGCTGTTTTCAGTCCGGAGGAAAACTGAGAGATAGGTCGCTATCTCAGACTGAGTACAGAAGCGAACTGAAATTGAGCGGAAGTAGGAAGTCTGACGTAGTCAGGCTACACTACAAGTGCACGTTAAAAACAATTAAGAAATGACATTTTCTTTCCTCTAGTCTGTCTTTCCTCCATGAAACGCAAACGAAGATGCTGAGCAAAACGTCAGAGCTGCTCTTTTCCACACAGTGAAAATGAGGAATAGTCATTTATACTGCCAAGCTCCAAAAAGCACCATGAAAGCACCATTAGTTGATGGCTAATTTCGCTGGTACTTGTGACTAAGTGACAATAAAGGCTACTACTACTAAAGCAGCTCATATATGACTTATGCGCATATGAAAACAATAGTGGTTGACATGAGGGTGAGTAAATGACGACAAAGATGTCATATTTGGGTGAATTCTTCCTTCATTTTCATACAACCAGACTAGACAAACATGGAAAACCATGCAGCTGAAGCAAACCTGCTCCCAGAGATCAGATTTCAGCACTTGTTCGCGGCCCAAAAGAGAGACAAGTCCCGGTAACACAAACATTGTTTGGATGTATCTGAAGTAATCCTTCTAAAAGTGTGTCACTCATGCCCTGGTGTGTGTATCACGCCACCAACAGCAGGAAACTGCTTTACCACATCAACTTGACCACAGTTCAAAAATGACTAACTCTGGTTTTGAGAGCTGACATGCTGCCCTGGGCCGCTGGAATGGCTCAGAGATGTATAATATAACTACCGCCCAGGCTGATCCTGGAAAGTTGGATTAAAGGGAACTGGGTGATTTATGATTTGCAAAGAATCTGGCTCTAGTGAGTGTTCGACAGGGGAGTGAGAACGAGACTCAGCTCAAATGAACCAGGTCAATCTGGAAGGAAAGTTGAAGAAAAAGGTTCTGAGAGATGAAGAGATAGATGGAGAAGCAGCTCCTGGAAGAGGGGGAAATCCAACCCTTTGACGTGATGAACGCACTTTGGGCTAAAAGTGTTTGATAAAATCTTGCAGAAAAAAAGCAGTAATTACTACTGGCTTCATTTATGTCAGATGACGAACTTTCACCAAACTGTGGTTAAATCAGGGAGGTTGAAGTCGAGCAAAACAGCGTTTTGAGTGATAACATGGGGCTTTCCAATGGGAAATTTGGGAAACATAATTAGTGCAAGTGAAACAGTGTCACACTAGACCAACCAGCATATTTAAAGCCGTTATATAACCAAACAGAATGGCAAAAATCAAGAGTCTCCTCATCTACCACTGGTCAGTTAGCCCTGGTCCAATATAACACCATTGGTTGAGCCAACATTGCTGGCTGAGTGGATAGTCTGACATCATTCATAAACACATGCAAACTCCATTTCAGCAGTTGAAGTCATTATATGAATGGTAAATATTTGGTATTAGAAAGCCTGGACCAGATTAAACTCAGATTAGCCCATTTATAAAGCCAATAAAAGGACCCATACTTTAGTAGCATTTCATTTTTGCCATTAATAATATTATTCGGAGTTTCCTGCACCAAAACAGGCACGATTTATTTATTTATTTTTAAATTCGTGAACTTCCCAAGCTCTTTCTGACCCATAAAATGAATCATGCTGTTTTTGCTGCATTTGAAAATTGACCGCTCTTATGACTGGCTAACATCTGTGTCCCAACAAATTTCCAACGTCAGCCAAGAGAGCCAAGCATATAAATACATATTGAATAGACACGTATGTAATTATGACGGTCATATGTTAATCAAGACATTGCAATCATAATGATTTCTTAATGAGCCATTTTAGCTTATAGTTTCAGTGTCTATGGGAGCTTTGAGTTCTGAAAATAGAGATGATGAATGCAGATAATATAATAATAATGGAATACAAAAGCCACTTAATACTTAAAGATAGTACCCTTTCATTACTTTTATCTTAACACTTTTGTAATAATGTAAGTTGAAAAGTTGAAATCATGTTTTTATATAAACATTACAATAATGTAAATATGTAAAATCTATTAATTTATTAATTAAAGAAGTACTTGCTTATATTTTTAACTATAGTGTGTAATTCGATATTACATGTAAAGTTAATATGTACTAAATTGTAACTTCATTACAAATATGTAATCAAAATAGATGTTACAAGAGAAATGGCAATAAAGTTCATTTTAGTTTACAAAAAAAAATGCTTGTCAGTATTCGGCAGTACACTTTAACCATATTTCAAAGACAATAGAAGTAATCATGAAATTACAAGTAAAGATGTACTTAAGTCCTACTCAAAACAATCACCACCATACATTTCAGTTAAATGCATTTAAAGGTAGGGTACTAGGCAATATTTTATACTGCAATATACTGGTTGAAACTCTTTTCACATCCTGATAGCAATCAATAATAAGAGTCTAAATATTAAATAATGCACATATATCTGTCATGTTTATGGACTTTCAGTTTATTTTCATCCGTTTTCCTTGTTCTTAGATTGTAGTCGTTTGATTAGTCATTTCCCTCACCTGTTATCATTTAATTAGCTAATTTCCCTGGTGAATAAATATTTCTTGTTTGGTTCAGTTCAGTGTCGGTCATCTTCATAGTTGTGTTTATGTTACCTGCGACCTTCCTGAGTATTCGAGTTTCCTATTAAAGGACTATTTTGCAAGATTTCCTGTTTCAAGTCTCTTTGGATTCTAAGACACGTGACAATATCTTCTGTGGAATTAGTCCGAATCCAATAAAAGGATGTCCTACCTGCCTGTCAACATATGTATTTCCATACCTCGCGCAGACATCACACGTCATCAGCGTGTTTCATGAGGCTGTGCAGAGTTGTACACAGACACCGGGTGCCACAAACGAACAGCACACCTTTAATGGTTCCTCCTGAATCAAAACAAGGAGCTTATGCTGCTTTCACACCATGTCGTAATTACCGTGATTAAGAGATGACAACATGTGACGTTCATCAACAGCGAAATGAATCTGCAGCAGTCAGGTGGTACAAGTAAGAGCTCTTTAAGTTGTTTACATTCATTACTATTGTAATGTTATGTGCTTTGAGACATGGCGTCTCTCGTGTTGTGACGCTTTGCAGACTCTGCTCTGGCTGTGCGCATTCATGTGTTTTGGAGGAGGCGTGACTTTGAAGACGCTCTGAAGGGAGGGTGGGATCTTATGCTTTCAAAGATAGCCTCTCCGAAGTTGCCTACCCTACCTTTAAACCAACACACCAAGGAACTTTTCCTCAGCGGTCGCCCTACAGGTTGGAAGTGGAATTGTCCATTACCGCTGTCGTAAATAATTTAGCCTACCGCAGCCTACTGTCGCACGCGCACGCTCGCTGTTTATCCAGCACCGGCTTTGGAATCAACAATGGCAGACATCCCAACCTGCAAGAAGTCATTTCAGGGAAGTATATATTGGTTACTGGATTGTTGACTAGCTTTCGCGAGGCACACTCGCAAGGTCTCTCGCTCTCTCCCTCTCTGCCATGCTCGCGCTATGTTATGCGCGCAGTATGTTCTGTCTCGCATGCACGCTCTAGATTCCGGCAGATTTTAACTAATTTGCGGGCATCAGGGAGACGCTATAGACTTGGGATGTCTGCAATGGCCACAGACAATTTGAGGAAGTGGTGGGGGAAGTGACGTATGCCGTAAAGCAGTCGAGTTTTGTAGTTCTTTTTGTGCTCGGGTTACTACCCGAAACCCGAAGTTACATAGTGCGAGTAAAAGCGATACAGACCACGTCAGGCTATGGCAGACGTGTCATTTTAACCTATTGTAAGTCGATGTACCATCACAAGGGTCTTGGAAATATATTATGAAGGTTGAAAAGTTCCATAGTGTTGCTTTAATACAAATTCAAACTCCAATACATTTTCATTCGTGTTAATTGCAATTAAATGATTGAAAATATCACATTGTTCACACAAGTGACTTAAGTAATAAGTACTCTTTTTAAAAGTATGTTAAAGTGTACTTCTGTTTCACAAGTGTTCAAAAGAGAACATTTTCCATGATTTGGTCCCTTTAAGTTTTAAATCTAAAGCTTGATGTTAAAAAAGAAATGTGGCGGTCTCACCTGTAGACTGCACCTGCGATACTCTCTGTCCCCGCCAGCGCATCTGTAGTTGCGGGCCGATGCTGGAGGCCTCCAGTCCCTCTCGGCTTCGTTTCTGGAGGGCTGGGCAGCGTTTTGTAGGACCCAGGGCTCAGGGTTTGGGTTTGCGGGTGTCTGGACGCCGTAGGGAGGAGGGTCTCTGGGAGTGTGCGCTCGGTGGATAGTGTGTGTGTAGGAGTGTGGGACTTGGCGAGAAGCGCGGCCGTCGATGCGTCTGTCACGGGCCACGTGCCTCTGGGACACGGGCCGTGAATGAGCGATTCGATTGCGTTCCCGGACTCTCTCTGCTCGTCTGTGGGGCTCTCCATCGGCTGCACTCTCCACTTCTGCTGTCGTGGAAACCGCCTCCGTCTCCTTTTCAGCCTGGTCTTTCTCTTTTCGTTCTCTGTTAACGTTGGCCACATCTGTAATAACTTTTTCTACTTCTCCCTGAGTTTTGTCCACATGTGAGCTGGAGTTCACACTGAGAGCGTCGAGACTTTCTGCGGTGGTGGTGTTGTGGTGATGCGTATGGCGCGCATGTCGATTTTGTCTGTGTAGAGGAAGAGAGAATGGCACTCTGCCGTACCCAAACTGTCCAGGGCGAATAGATGAGCTAGACCTGGTGTGACAGGGACAGACAAAACATGCCGTGAGTATGCTAGAAACAGGTCTGCATGACAAATATAGCATTAGGGATTTAAACTGAGCTAAAATAAACATGTTAGACATCGAGAGATCAAAGCTAAAAGAATACAATGTCATGTGACACTGAAGACTGGAGTAACGATGCTGAAAATTCAGCTTTGTATAACAGGAATACATTTTATTATTTATTATTTTATTTATATACATTTTATTATAGGAAACAGTTCATTTAAATTGTAATAATATTTCCCAATATTACTGTTTTCACTGTATTTTTGAGCAAATAAATGCAGACTTGGTGAGCATAAGAGTCTTCTTTCAAAAACATTAAATCTTACCAAACCCAAACTTTAGAACAGCAGTGAAATACGGAATTATTAATATTATATACTGAAGATTTTATTATACACTCACCTAAAGGATTATTAGGAACACCATACTAATACTGTGTTTGACCCCCTTTCGCCTTCAGAACTGCCTTAATTCTACGTGGCATTGATTCAACAAGGTGCTGAAAGCATTCTTTGGAAATGTTGGCCCATATTGATAGGATAGCATTTTGCAGTTGATGGAGATTTGTGGGATGCACATCCAGGGCACGAAGCTCCCGTTCCACCACATCCCAAAGATGCTCTATTGGGTTGAGATCTGGTGACTGTGGGGGCCATTTTAGTACAGTGAACTCATTGTCATGTTCAAGAAACCAATTTGAAATGATTCGAGCTTTGTGACATGGTGCATTATCCTGCTGGAAGTAGCCATCAGAGGATGGGTACATGGTGGCCATAAAGGGATGGACATGGTCAGAAACAATGCTCAGGTAGGCCGTGGCATTTAAACGATGCCCAATTGGCACTAAGGGGCCTAAAGTGTGCCAAGAAAACATCCCCCACACCATTACACCACCACCACCAGCCTGCACAGTGGTAACAAGGCATGGTGGATCCATGTTCTCATTCTGTTTACGCCAAATTCTGACTCTACCATCTAAATGTCTCAACAGAAATCGAGACTCATCAGACCAGGCAACATTTTTCCAGTCTTCAACTGTCCAATTTTAGTGAGCTCTTGCAAATTGTAGCCTCTTTTTCCTATTTGTAGTGGAGATGAGTGGTACCCGGTGGGGTCTTCTACTATTGTAGCCCATCCGCCTCAAGGTTGTGCGTGTTGTGGCTTCACAAATGCTTTGCTGCATACCTCGGTTGTAACGAGTGGTTATTTCAGTCAAAGTTGCTCTTCTATCAGCTTGAATCAGTCGGCCCATTCTCCTCTGACCTCTAGCATCAACAAGGCATTTTCGCCCACAGGACTGCCGCATACTGGATGTTTTTCCCTTTTCACACCATTCTTTGTAAACCCTAGAAATGGTTGTGCGTGAAAATCCCAGTAACTGAGCAGATTGTGAAATACTTAGACCGGCCCGTCTGGCACCAACAACCATGCCACGCTCAAAATTGCTTAAATCACCTTTCTTTCCCATTCTGACATTCAGTTTGGAGTTCAGGAGATTGTCTTGACCAGTACCACACCCCTAAATGCATTGAAGCAACTGCCATGTGATTGGTTGATTAGATAATTGCATTAATGAGAAACAGGTGTTCCTAATAATCCTTTAGGTGAGTGTATATATACTATATAATAACTATATATTATATAACTATATAGCAGTTAGAAATGTTTGGAATTGTGTGATTGTGAAAGAAGTGAATATCTTCATTCATAATGCACAATATAACCCTAAACTGGCCACTGTAAATCTGGCCCTATATTTTTTATCACAACCTTTTGTTAGCCACATTGAAATTGATTTTATTTTAATTGTGAAGCCCTATCTATTAATGAGTTATGCTCATGTAAACAGGAAGGTCCCCACTAACGACGACCAAACCTGCTCACCTTCTTACAGACGCTGGATCCCTATTGGTGGAAACTGACCTCCTGCTCCCACTGCCTACAGCTCTTCCGTGACTGGGCGACCGTCCGGGAACTCTCCCGTAGGGAAGAGAAGAGGACGAGGAAGGTGATCGGTAGACTGAAACCGGCTCCTGATTGGGAGGGCTGAACTGCACTGGCCCAGCGCCGCCGGCTTCATTTCGGTAGAGCGGTATCCCAGGATTCTGATTGGCTGGGAGAGGTGGGGAAAAGAACGGAGGCATCTCAGCGCCCCCTGCTCCATATGGAGGTGGCTCGTTGATGGGATACAAGGAGTTGTAGTAGGGTCTGACTGCAGAGATCACAGGAGTGTTATTCGGGACACCCGGTGGAAGATACGCTTGTCTGTTCCACACAAGAGGCGGGGTTTGGGGAGGCGGCACACACTGTCTCCTCCTCTCAGACACGCCCACTCCACAGCTCTGAGAACACTCCTCCCACTCGCTCCATGGACCCCACACCCCTTCAAGCCTCTCCTCCTCTGCCTGACGAGACTGACGTCCTGGCGCCTGTCAAAGGAAGGCCTCATAATTATAAGTTGTAAATCTGTACAAAATATGCAACATGCAGTATATGCAAAATATACAGTAGGGTACAAATGTCTGAAACCACACTGGGCCCTATCATACAGCCGGTGCAAATGCGGCGCAGGCGCGAAGCAAGTGTTATTGCTGTTCAGCCTGACGCAGTTATCATTTCACGTGTTCATTTGTCGTTTCAAGTGATCTGTCTATCATTTTCATCGTCCTTCTGCGCCACGTTGTTTAAATTGCAAATGCATTTGCGCCCATTTGTGCGCCCATTTGAGCACCCATGGGCTGCTGGTCTGAAAACGAGGTGTGTTCAGGCGCATTGTTGGCGCATTGCTATTTTGAGGCAACTGAAATAGACTGCGCCATTGACCAACTGAAACCTGGTCTAAAGTCAATGGCGCAGTACATTTGATATTTAAAGGGCGCATGAGTAATATGCGGGTCCACACAACGCACGTACACTCTGCTTATTACACACACAGGTCACCGCTTGTCTCGTAGACGGTCTGCTTGCACGCTTAAACCTCGCGCACGAGCAGATCCGTTTCTTCGCTAGAGAAGCATTCAGTCTTTCCGCTTGCAAATTCCGCCATGTAAATAGCTAATCCGCCATGGCGCGAGCGCAACTGGCTTTTAAAGGGAATGGGAGATGAGACTCACATTGGTTTATTGCACGTTACGCCCAAAACACACCCATTACTCATTAAGAGAATAGGAACAACACTTAGACCATGCGCTGGGCATGCCGACAATTTTTCCCGCCGTTGAAATGGCAAAAGTGGATTCGAACACGACCTAAGTGCACTTGCGCTGTGCGCTTTAGACCATGCGCTTAGATCGTTAAAATAGGATCCACTGAATGCAAAATCTCATTTCTTTTGAAGCTTAAGCTTTTTTGAGATTCTCTCTCAAATCATGCTGAAAAACATGACCATCAGGATTTGTTCATGTAGCTCTTTTATTTTTATTTTTATTGTTTTAAATGTTTTTCATGTGTGGTATCAGACCCTATTGTGCACATACGTATATACACACACACACACACTTTACATCCTGGGCGCTAAAACTGAAATCTAATAACCAGCTGAAATTAGAATTCTTTAAGGATTCAATTCAATTCAAATCACAAGATTTAACAAGAAAGGCATGAACAATTGTTTTGAAATAGACAGAATAATTCCCAAAAACCACACCCAAACAACAAGCAAGTTGAAGCACATGTCCTGTTCCATAGCACTCAGTCATGACATTATGACTAAGAAAAGAGGCATAATTAAACTAATGGCGTGTGCTGCATGCAGAAAGAGGCTGGACTCTGGAGTTCAGCCCAGTGCAGTGACATTCTTTACAATGCTGGACGCAGATTTGAGCTAATTCCAGTTACTTATATAACCTCATTTCATCAATCAGGAGTGAAGAATTTGAGCGTCTGCAGGGCAGGCAGAGGTAGAAGGGAAGAGTCCAACAAACAAAAGAATCCATTGAGTTCACAAAAATAGGGGGGGAAACAAGCGAACAAGGCCTGTAATGCACCTCTGATCCTGTTCAAACTGCCATCAAGGGCACACCACGCCAAGCCTGAATCTGCATTTGTGTGTGTGTGTGTGTGTGTAATGATAGATGGATAGGTGGATAGGTGGATAGGTGGATAGATGGATGGATGGATGGATAGATAGATAGAGATAGATAGATTGTTTTTGGAGCTGTATTTCTCTGCAGTAGCCAGTGTAATCTGTGTGTGTGTGAGTGTGATTTCATGCCTGTTATAACATCTAGCATGCAGCGCTGTTTGAAATGCAAGGAAAAACAACAAACTCATTTCTAGTTTTCAATGGCATTTGTCTCTGAGTATTTCTCCAATAAACCATTGTTGTTCTAACTGAAATAGAGCATAACAGTGTGCTGTACAAACTACACACGCACATCAATTTGCCACTGCATCACTGCTGTAACTCTGGTGGTCCTTTTCCTGTGTGTGTGTGTGTGTGTGTGTGTGTGACTTACACTGAACACGTGCATTAATGCTCACTTGCATACATGTGAGTGTGATTTTGTCACAAAAACGCCCAACATGCTCCCAAAGGACAATCCCACATCAGAGGCCAGATGACCAAACAATGGAAAGATCATCTCATAATGATGGCCTTATTTAATGGTCAGATGCAGAACTGACCGCAGGGGCAGATAGAGTTTATTTGCGCTTCTCTCAGAGCCTCAGAAGACTCATTCAGCTTCAGCTGGTCAGATGAGACCTCCACAAACATATTCTGCAAATCTTTTTCCCTCTACCAACGATAGAAGAAAAAACAAACTTGCACTGAAGGACACCATAATAAAACTGGACTCAGAAAACCCTAGTAACACCTTAACAACTGTATAGCAACACCGTCAACTACTTCTCTGTAAAAGCCGAGCATGCAAATGATGCAATGTTTCTTTAGACATGTTCTCTCAGTTCTGCTGTCAAATCATCATCATTTTCATCACTCACCGGCTTTTCTGCTTCATCGGCTGTTGTTAAGGGCAGCAGAGTCAATACACAACACCAAAACGCACACAATCTGTGAGGAAGAGGAGAAATGTTACACATATGAAAAAGAGTATTTAGAAGTAGAAGAGTAATACTATTTCACTTAATTCATGTTGTGATGTTAAATGATACTGTGATAAGACATGATTAGCACAGTATATGATAGTGTTTCGGGTTAACAAGAAGCTGATTAGATTAATCTCTGGACAGTTAGGAAAATGTGTTAACAAGCCGACGAGTTCCAATACTTCTCAAAGGCTTTCCCAGAATTCCTTCTGACAGACGATTCTCCACCCTGCCCGGCTCCTATTGGCAGTCTCCTCTGGATATGACTTATCCTCAAAAACATTCTCATATCAACCACATTCGTGCTGACGTTTCATAACAAAACGCTTCAACCCACATGTACAGTAAAAGGTTCTGGTTAAAATACTTTAAAAACTGATTATAAACAAAATTGCAAGTTGTTTCAAAATAACGTTTCGAACGTCCTTCAAGAAAAAAATGATTACTGAAAATTATAGATTACTTTGTTCTAAACCCCTGTTATAAAACCCAGTGTTTTTAACCCTGCGGGCAAAAGTAATCGTTAGGGTTTTTCACACTTGAAACCCTGTAAATGGAATTCTGGGTAATCTTGCTTAACGTTTCCCATTGCTCATAATTTACAAGGGTTAACAATTAATCCTGGGATTCATAAGCTGCCGTTTCACACTGCACATTCCAAAATTCCTAGACTGGGTTAACATCCATATTTGCATATTTGTATAGTCAGTGTCTGATTGGATGAATGGAGCACACATCCTATTTACATTGCGCATCCTCCGATTATACACTGCTGACTGTACTATCAATTTAATCCTGAATGGACTTTTCAGACTATAAAGGCAAAAATAAAATGGTCTCTTCTTCACTCCAATTGTTGCATTGCTAAGCATTTAGCCGTAACATTCTAACACCGCTTTGTTTCACACTGCACATGTTTGGCACCACAATATAGGGTTAACACAGCAAAAGCAGTGCTAACCCTGCTTCCATAACCCCGGGTAAAAAGCAGTGCTAACCCTGCTTCTAAATTACAAGACAAAACGTTCCTTTACCTGGGGTTAAAAGAGGGGCTTTGAATGACGATAACCCGGGGTTAAACCCTGTAGATTATCTTCTTTGCCCTGTATTAGCAATTAATCCTGAGTAGGTTTCAAGATTTCACATTGTATATTTTAGTAACTTTACTTAACTTGGGGTAAGGACCACTTTTCACACTAAAAGTACAGCTTTTAACCCTGGTTAATGAAGCAAGGTGAAGCAGTGGTAACCCTGAATTGTGGTGCCAAAGATATACAGTGTGAAACAATGCAGAGTCAGTATGTTACAGCGAGCTCTTACAAGACAACTAATTATATAAAGTTAACCCATTAAATACCCGTTAGTGGTTAGGATCAACATACTACGAGGGATGCTCGAACAGTGACAGCAAACACATTGACCATGGTTTAGACAGTGTTATTTATTATGGGAATATTGTGATGACATTGGACAGGCAGTTAATGGCCATGTATAATTTTCCAATTATTCTGTTTAAACTTTTGATTGGACACGTGCAGATATAAATTAATGTTCACTTATGGATATACAGTACTGTTAAGCTACATATTTTAGCTGTTTTACTAGGATTTCCAGAAATCAGAATATTGGTTCAATCTGATTATAGCAACTATGACATTTAGGTACACAGTCAGAATATTTAAATACAAAATATTAAGTGTGTTTGTATTTTTCATATTCTTGTGATGAAATCAACCCGCAAACTATGCTACTCTCTTAAGAAATAGCAATCAAGTCTGAAAGTGCATGAGAACGTTGTGGTACAACAGAGGCTAAAAGCTTAAAGCTATAGCTGTCTGTCTGAGGCTATAGAAATTACTATAGGAGGAAAATTGTTTAGGCTACACGAAGTGAAGGTAATAGGTTCATTAAAAAAATTCCTGCCATTACACTCTAAAAAATGCTGGGTTGTTTCAATCCATGTTTGGGTTACGAATACGGACAAACCCAACCATTGGATTACATTTTTAACCATTGGATTCCATTTTTAAACCCAAGCTCCGACTGATTTTGTCCATATTTGACCCAAACATGGGTTGAAACAACCCAGAATTTTTTAGAATATACAGCACAGGACAGGGTCTGGGACACAAATCAATTTGCAATATGTCTCAAGAGAACATTAGGGTTGTTTTTGTACCAATAATGTTTATCTGTTTAATAAGTTTCCACATAATCTGAGGTTTACTATTAGTATTTCAGAACAGTGTAAAATGATGCATGACATCTTGAGTGCAGCCACAGACCCGTAATCATAGATGTGGGTTAAAGCGGCGCACCACGGAAACCTCAGGGACCATCGGGCCAGAACTACTGAGACCAAGCGCGCGGAACAGGGTCACTCAAGCCGCAGTAACGACCCCCCGCCCCCGGCCACGTTTCTCAGCACACCGCTGGAGTCTATAGGAGAACCCCGCCACAATGCCTGCGTCCAGAAGAACTACACAAGTGCTCTGCTTCAACTAGCTCTTTAAACGCGCCAAATAATCCTAAAGGAATGCTTGTGGATCAGACTGCATCCCTCTAAACCTGAAAGAGTTTATTTGATTGTTTTTTAAGCCCATTAGGATCTATTCCATTCTTTAAAAGGGTTCTTTATTGGCATCTGGTTCCATAAAGAACCTTCAACATCAATTCCACAAAATGTCCTAATAGTGAAACAAAAAGTTCATTGGATTTTTAAAATATTCTTCACACTAAGATAAATGGTTCTGTTAAGAACTGTTAACTGAAAGATTCTTTGGGAAACAATTTTTCTTTTCTTTTATAGCATCGCTGCGAAGCGATTCAGTTAGCCTTTTTATGCCGTCCATGCACCCTACTATTACATTTATATAGGCTACACTGCCGCCCAGTCCAGTCATCGGATCTGGTCAAGAACAGTCTAGTTGTAATTCTTGCGGTTGTGATCGAGCCCGACTCGAACCCGGGACAGAATTCCTCCCCCTGTCGCCTTGCGCCCGGAGCCAGTGGACACTTACTGTCTCTCCATCTGATAGCTACTAAAGTCCCAAACCCGCGCGTCAGTGTGGCGTGCTGTCATTCCGCGCGATGTTGAGTGCATGTGTGTGTGTGTGTGTTTTAGCCTACCTGTTCACAGATCCAGTCCTCATGCTCTCCTCCTGCGCGTGAACTCCTCACACTGGCGTCCGTCGCGCGTACTGATCCGTTCTGCGTCAAGTTTGAGAAAGGGCGACAGGGACAAACACAAGATCCACGGAGTTGCTTGGCGAACTTTGCCTCGTTTCTTCAGACTCGTTCTCTATTCTGTTACACACTCTCTCACACACTCCCCTCGGGTAAGAGAGGGAGGGGTGTAGTTTTTTTTTTTTTCTGTTCACCCTACAACTTTTTTTGTACTTGTGTAAAGCTGGTGTGACGCTGGACTGCTCGGGGGCCTGTAGGGGCCACACTGACAATCTCTCTCTCTCTCTGTTTTTCTCTTTCCCTCTCATAGAACTCCATCCTCTCACTGATTTGTCTTTATTTCATGTGTTCACTCCAACACACCTGTACATATGTGTCATCACTTTTCATATCGGACAGATAACACAGCACAATTAATAGAGCATAATGTTTACTTTTAATATCACCACATAGCAGATACTAGGGTTAGATGTTGCTCTTTTTACCCTATTTCTCCACTGACCTTTTGACCAGTAACGGGGCATGCTGTCACTCCATATGATGGAATAGTGGAAACATAATGAAAACATTTAAACAGTAAAATAATAACGGGAATTTATTTTTAAAAATATTTGAAGTAATGTTCATTCGTGAAACTAGTGAAATATGAAATAATTCATAAACAATATAAAACAATTATGATAAAATAAATATATTTTATATTCACGTTAATTAACATAACATTTTTGAATTGAGAATTGTTTTACTATTTAAAATTTAGCTGAACATTCTATAATAGACTTTTTAATGGCAGGCTCCATTGTGACAACTTACCCCTTGATGCACTGTTTATAACTGTTATTACTAAACTACAGTATGATGATATTGTAATTGTAGTTTAAACGCTGCTGCTGCTTTCCATTATTGCTTCTGCTGCAAAGCATGGACTTTCTACTGCTAATAGATAAAGACACGCTGCTGTGAGTGAGCATGATATGCTGCATAAATAGATATACATAAATCCCATAGCAGATCTAGGCAGGTGGAGCTGGGGGAGGTGGAGGGGTTCAGAGGAACTCTGATATAGCGTGCTGGAGGACTAGCTTACAGCAAACACTGAACCAGTGTTGAGCAAGCAATCTCATTGGCTGCAGGATCAGCAGAGGCCAATCAGCTTGTGCCATGATGTGATTGCTTGCAGATTGCACGTAAAGGACCTATATCGGCATGTTTCATGACTGAAATAGTGGATTTTACTCAAAATCTTGCCGTCACTGAGAACATATTTGCTTTATTAAAAGTGTTCTTGTCTATAATAGTGAAAGCGACAGTGGTGTGGAAACATTCCACAATACTGGTTTTAATATTTGCAAAATCTTTACATCCAGATTTTCTATGTGGTTTTATACTTTTCACCCTACTTTATAGATATGAAAGTATGAGACCACATTAATATTTATACTAATGTCAATGAATGCTTAAAACAACACTCTGTAAGATCAACATAAATGATTCCTAATGACTGGATATTTTTATTCAGACCTCAAAATGATCAGATATTTATCAACGTAATTCCAATGAGAAAGATTGGCCATCTTTTTTCTCAAAACTTTCAGAGTGGTCTCAGTCGCACAGAAGTCTTTAAAAGGGGATCACAGTCTTGGTGGCGTGAAACTGACAGCGTTTGTTCACTGTTAAGGGAGGGGTGATAGACTCTAAAACACTGAGAACAGGGCCGGTCAAGCATGTCAAGATACACTGATGAATCATGCATGAGTGCCACATGAGATCAGAGGAAAACTATATTTATAATAAATCACTGAATGCAGAGCCACCGCATGATTCCGTCTGTGAGGACGTACAGCATTACCAAAGTGTTGTGAGAGGTGAAAGGAAACAAGAACCGTTCAAAGCCTGTAATTATACCAATAGAGCAGAACAAAGATAACTTGTGTATCTAACAAACAAGATATGGTAATCACGCTGAGAGAAATGTTGGGTGACCGCTGCGCTTCAGTGCTTATACACTAGATAAAGTTCATGTCTGTTTCTGTGGGTGTATTCTGACCTAAGATTAAATCATATCCTCAAGATATAATGGCAAATCTTTGGGAAGCAGAGAGGAAAGCAGCTGAAGGCAAAAGAGGATTTTTTTCAAATGTTTTTGAATCTCTTTTCTGCTCACCAAGGTTGCATTCATTTGATCAAAATACAGTAAAAACAGTAATAGTATGAAATATTATTATTACCGTTTAAAATAACACCAATTTGAATATATGTTCAAATGTAATTTATTCATGTAATCAAAGCTGGATTTTCAGCATCATTACTCTTCCGTCACATGATTCTTCAGAAATCATTCTAGTATGATGATTTACTGCTCAATAAAAATTTCTTATTATTATTCATCTTAATAATAACAGTTGTGCTGCTTCATATTTTTACAGAAACGGTGATCTTTTTTTTCTCCAGGATTCTTTGATGAATACAAAGTTCAAAAGAACAGCATTTTAGATCTTTTTTTTAACATTATACATGTCTTTTATTGTCACTTTGGATCAATTTAATGCATCCTTTCTGAATAAAAGTATAATAAAGAAAATTAAAAAACAGTAATGAAAAAACTGTAATGTACTTATAAAGAAATACTGTTTTTGTGTGCGACTGAGAGCCTTAATGTATTGACTTTAATGCTGTGGACTGTTATGTTTCAACATGCATTATTGACGAACATGCATACTTGTGTGTTAGTATCTGTAACTTAATCTTAAATTAGTGTTATCTCACCCTAGCACAGCGAGACCCGACACCATCCTCTAAATGACCTATCCCATCCTCCAGAGGGTTTAACTACTGACATTAACCCCATCTCACGTTACAGCAGAGAAAACATTTGAAATATTTGCTTTTTAAAAGCCCATGAGATCAGAATTAAAGTGTTGTCCATATTGAACGCACAAGTGCTTGTGCAATCCTGAATGTTGACAAATTTAACTAGCAAGTAGCAAATCATGTTCAAGCTAAAGGTGTAACATGTATTGTTTCATTGTCATGGTGTTTTGATTTCCCTGTTTGTCTGTCTCCCTGTGTTCCCTATAGTTAGTTCCCTTAGTTACTAATAACATTCACCTGTCGGTCATTTCTTCCCGTATTATTCCCTGTGTTTTTAAGCCCTTATTTTCCTCAGTTCTTTGTTCAGTCTCGTCAATGTTTTATGGTGTTCTCCTGCATATTCTCCTTTGTTATATTATTAAATTCAGTTTATTTCACAGAATATCTTGTGTCCCTGCAGCCTAACGAGACAAAAGGGTTGTGAAAAAGCACACTTTAGCATACTTTTAAAAAGAGTACTTGTTACAGGAAAACACTTTAAAAGAATATACTTAAAGGCCCACAGAAGTGCCTTGAAACTTTCAAATTTATTCAATGTGTTGATGTAATTTCCACTGAAACAGGAAGATAGGGCGGGACATATCAAACAGCTCCTCCCCTTTCTTAAAATAGCCAATAGCATTTAGTTTATATCACAGCTCGGCCAGAGCCATTGAGCTCAGTAAAGCCACAGTTTCCTCCTAATCTCTAACCATTTCTCCTCCATATCACTTTAAAATGCTTTTTCTTGTATGCTCCGACTCGGTTCGTGTGACACTAACATGAAACTAGACTTAATTCGGCCCAATGGAAAGCATTTACACTGCTGGAATCGTTTCCTTTCCCCTATATAGTGCATTATGTGCCATAGAAAATAGTAAATGTGTGAACAAGGGACTGATTTCAGCCACAGCTTCAGCGTTTATAATGTAGGGGGCGGAGCTTCAGATTCTAGAGAGCATTTGATTGGACAGAAAATCTGATGAGAAGCTGAAGTGCAGAGTGATGTCATCAAAATCGTTGATCCATGTTGGTGGAAGATTTGAATGCTTATGTCTTCTAGATGTGAATTTTGGCATTGTTTTAGAGCACTAGCTTTTAACAATAAAACATATTCATACTAAAAAAGGCAAAAAACTAAAGGTGAAGAAAGTGTGAACTAAAGGTAGGTTTTCAGGCACTGAAATACATGTTAATTGAAATAAAATGAAACCGTATTACAGTTGAAATTTTATTAAAACCCATTTAAGTGGGACTTTATTTGGAGTTTCATAAATGCTTTTATTTTCCTCTCTCTCCCTCTATATATATACACTCACCTAAAGGATTATTAGGAACACCATACTAATACTGTGTTTGACCCCCTTTCGCCTTCAGAACTGCCTTAATTCTACGTGGCATTGATTCAACAAGGTGCTGAAAGCATTCTTTAGAAATGTTGGCCCATATTGATAGGATAGCATCTTGCAGTTGATGGAGATTTGTGGGATGCACATCCAGGGCACGAAGCTCCCGTTCCACCACATCCCAAAGATGCTCTATTGGGTTGAGATCTGGTGACTGTGGGGGCCATTTTAGTACAGTGAACTCATTGTCATGTTCAAGAAACCAATTTGAAATGATTCGAGCTTTGTGACATGATGCATTATCCTGCTGGAAGTAGCCATCAGAGGATGGGTACATGGTGGCCATAAAGGGATGGACATGGTCAGGTAGGCCGTGGCATTTAAACGATGCCCAATTAGCACTAAGGGGCCTAAAGTGTGCCAAGAAAACATCCCCCACACCATTACACCACCACCAACAGCCTGCACAGTGGTAACAAGGCATGATGGATCCATGTTCTCATTCTGTTTACGCCAAATTCTGACTCTACCATCTGAATGTCTCAACAGAAATCGAGACTCATCAGACCAGGCAACATTTTTCCAGTCTTTAACTGTCCAATTTTGGTGAGCTCTTGCAAATTGTAGCCTCTTTTTCCTATTTGTAGTGGAGATGAGTGGTACCCGGTGGGGTCTTCTGCTGTTGTAGCCCATCCGCCTCAAGGTTGTGCGTGAAAATCCCAGTAACTGAGCAGATTGTGAAATACTCAGGCCGGCCCCTCTGGCACCAACAACCATGCCACACTCAAAATTGCTTAAATCACCTTTCTTTCCCATTCTGACATTCAGTTTGGAGTTCAGGAGATTGTCTTGACCAGGACCACACCCCTAAATGCATTGAAGCAGCTGCCATGTGATTGGTTGATTAGATAATTGCATTAATGAGAAATTGAACAGGTGTTCCTAATAGTCCTTTAGGTGAGTATATATATATTTGTATTGATTACAA